TGCAATTGAGTCTGCAAAGCCTTGTTCTTAAATATTGATGTTTTATCTGGATAGGGTCCAGTTGGAATTTCCCATTTTTTACTCTCATCTTTGCATACACCCCAATGAACAACAACATCACCAGGAATATCAGTTTCTATATGCAGAAGATTATTAACAAATTCAGGACATCTCTTTTTGCAAACACTCATGGAGTTATCAACCATTGATTGTTTTACAATGTCATATTCCTCATAAAAAAGGTTCCCCTTCTGGGTAGATTCTTTTGAATTGCCACCATCAGATTTCTGCAACATGTTAGATAAGTGTCCCAGAGTCCCTGGTTAGATTAAAATAGTTCAGTGAGTCAGCTTGTTGGAAGTAATAAATGTGGAAATAAAAGAAAATGAGAAAAAAAAAAAAAAAAAAGATCAGCTTTAAGATCAATGTTGGCATTGAATAAAAATGTTTCACAACCTGGCCATATGGCAAAATCTTGTTTAGTTCCTACAGTATTGCCATCATCATTAGATATATTTGTAAGAGGCACCTTAAAATCTGACCCTTTGTGTTGATACCAAGATCCAGTTTCTTCATCCTGAATCATTATACATTTCCCAACCACATGGAAAAATCAGATATTTATATAACAAATGAAATTAATAACAAATAGAAACTAAAAGTAATACCCTTAATACAAAATTTATTGCTGAAATTGAACTTCTGGTGTTGAAATCAATCTTCACTTCATATATGAACCCTGCTTCCTTCTCCACTGATTTTTCCAAAGGGGTCTCAATTGCATATTCCTAAAAAGATTGGGTGCAACATATAATATGAGCATGTGACCGATAATGAATGGAAGAAATCATCAATACCTTAATGGGAATGGAGCCTAGAGGTCTCATCTCAACAGGAGGCTGATCCCAATCACTGCAGACATTGAATTATAAAAATGATCATGATCTTGATAATGAGAGAGATTCTTATCTTAGTTTCTATTTGGGAATATGTTGAAGGTAATGGAATTCACAATCAAAGCCAAAAAGTTGCAAGAAGAAAGAACCGCACTACATGGTGAAGCAAACCTGCCAATGTCGTTAACATAATTAATTCCCCAATGAAGAATCCATTTCCCTGGAAGATTGCATCCAACAACAAGCTGCAAATTCTCTTCATCTTTTCCACAATCTAATCTGACTAATATCTTTCCTTCGACCTGTATATGATATAGAACACTTAACACTAACAAATGGTGATCATTTTAATATGTTTTCTATTCGGTTCAATTTATTTGATAATATTGTAAATTCTCTGTACTTGCAGTTTATGCAACAATTCATTCCATGCACCTCGGAAACATAAAATAAAACTACTTCCAGTGCATCGAAAAGCACGATGCAAATTTCATGGATCTCAACTTTGATTCAACAAAAGAGCAAGAAGATATATTTATATAGCCCGAGTAATTCACTAACCTTTTCGATACATTGCAATGGAAATGTTTTGTGGAAGATGACATTATCGGAGTTGGATGTGTTGGAAAGAGATAATTCAGCAACCGAGCTATTAGAAGAAGCTCTAACGGTAGTTTTCATAACCCTAGAACTAACAGGCCTGAAGTTGCAGCGTTTGGCGCCATTTCCGATCAAACAATTCCTTGTCTTCCAAGTGTAATTCAGGGAAGATTGCTTATGCTTTTCAGATTCCATTGGAGACTTTGAGGTTTCCCGCCAGTGATGATGATGGAGGATAGGCTCGAGAGGAACCGTCGCCATGATCGGAGAGGAAATCTATAGAGAAAGGAGAGGGGTTTGATTTGCGTTGCAGGTAGTTTTATGATTAAAATCGTTCTGTTAATATCACTGCAGAACTTACACTCTGCACCCCTAACTTTTAAGGTTTTACACCATGACTCCCTAAAGAATAAAGAGCACTAACAATAGTATAGTTAAGTTTTCTCGGATAGCCAAGCACAAACTCATGTATCCAAAGCTTAGAATACATTAACTGTGAGTCTGTGACTCATTAATTTTATTTATGTCGAGTTATTGTTTTTTATATAAATAGTCTATTTAACAATTCATTGAATATTTGTGGGATCCACTGCAATAGTGATCGAAGTTTTTTATATAAAGAGCTTGTAAATTTACATGTCTTGTTGAAAATTTTACTGCCACAACATTGAGGTAGCTTTTCATATTTTTTTCAAAATAAAAATGTTTTGAAAACTTCTATTCTATTCAAAAACTACTATTCTTGAACTTTATTCAATCCAAAAGCTTTTCCAAGTACTTTGTAAATTTACAGGCGCTTAGAATAAACTTTTTCTATGATTGTGTTGGGTCCTATGAAATTTCAACCAAATTTTAAATATACAACTTCTACAAACAACAATAAATTTCTATTAACAAAATTGGTAGGTCCTCTTATATAAGTTGATGAAATAGTTTTTCATATTTTAAAGAAATATTGAGTTTTTAAATTAATGGATTGTGCTTAAATGTCATAAAAAGATTCAAAAAAATACTATTATGGGCGCTCTAAGAATATACATATTTAAATAAATTATAACGATTTGAATAATCAAAATTAATTTATTCTAAAGGCACTATTTAGTTACCAACTACCCAATCTTAGTAGATATACATTACTAAGTTTAGGTTAATTTTCAAATTCCAGTTTTTAATTTAGCGTGTGAGAAGTAAAATCATCCCATAATATGGGATTTTATTAATACTATTTTTACTCTTTCTACTAAAGCATGTGTCATACACTATATTGTTTTTATTTTGTTCTATTGTTATTTTTCTGTTTAATTGTTTTAAAACCTAAATAATCAAATAATAATTGCTTTCTCGGTGTAATATCTTGTAGAAGTCATTCTAATTTCTAAGTTTGAACACTGAAAACGCAAGTACTTTTCTGTAATTCTTTTAATTGAAAGGGCTGAAATGTACGCAACCCGCTAATTTTTGTAGTGCACCCGTGTAACGTGATCAAGAGAAAGTTTGCTTGTAGATTTCTAAAAGCAAAAAGTTAATGGCCTTTAATTTATTAATTTTTATTCTTTTATTATTTATTAAATTAATTCCAATTTGCAGTTTTCCACCGATTAGATCATCTCATCATCCCTTTACGTAGACAAAAAGGGTCAATACTTTCCACTCCACCTGTTAGTAACACCTACTCGCTACAACCGTAATAAAATTATTAATCAAGCCAAAAACTAATGATTTTTCATTTAATTGTCAAAAATTAACAATTAGCCAAAAATATCCAACCTAACAATAGATAATATTAAGTTCATCCACAATGGGAGTTGTATGAGGGTTTAATGGAATAAATGTGAATATAATATAGAGGAGAGAGAGTGTGAGTTGAATGGGGTGAAATGAAATTGTAATTGAAAATTTATTAATTTTTAAGAATTAAAGTAAATGTGTATATTCTCTTTCCTACTTGACAATCCATACAACTCTCCATGGGTTTAATCCATTGGAGATGACCTAAGAACCTACGATTTGGATGTATATGGTTTTGGGCATTTGAGCTACGGTTTTGCAGCCCATCTATAGTTTGGGGGTCATTAGTCTAGAATATATAAAGTTAAAAAAAAAAAAATCATTTAGGTCGTTTTCAGGTGATAGAATCTAGCGATTTTCTTTCAATGGCGGCTCCGAACAACAATCATATTTTTCTCTTAAACCTCGTTTTTTATTTGAATTCTATCGTTTACCTTGAAATCTAATATATTGGGTATAGTTTTTTTTTTTGCAAAAAACAAAGAAAAATAATAATAAGAATATGTCACCTACGGTGTACAAGTTGTTGATGCACAAAATGCGCATTAGCAGTTTGTACAACATAGATGGCATACCGCATCTACGGTTTTCAAAGTTAATGTTTGTTTTTTTTAACATGTATAGTGACATTCTTTTATTATGTGGTATGTCATTTGGGTTGATTCGGTATTCTTAACGAAATTCATTTGAATGTCAAGAACAAAACAGTAGTTGTTAGGATGAAATAGTAGATATAGTAGTCGAAACCAATCTAAAATAGAAGTCGGCACCAAAAAAAATTATCAAACCGTAGCGGATAGAGGGAAATTGTAGGCGCGGAGCCCTAAGCTACAGTTTGTTCATAACCCGCATGACATTCATCCAAACACCAAACCCTAGCTTAGTTGAGAGCATATCGTAGGTGTGTGACTTATCCTACGGTTTTGTCCAAAAAAATGATTTTTTTTATATATTAGTAGGCCAAACCGTAGTTGAGTATTGAAACCGCATACGTGTTTGACTAGGTTATGGTTTGGTTTGCTAGTTTTGGTTATCGATACATTTTACGTAATTAAGTGAAAAGTCATTAGTGTTTCTTGCTAGACTAGTAATTTTCTCCTATATCAATGGCTATATTGTTGATAAAATTTTAAAGGGAAATCTTCGGAAAAGTTTTAATATTTCACCCTAATCTTCGGAAAAGTCCTAATATTTCACCCTAATTTACGAAAAAGTCTCAAAATCTTCGGAAAACCGATCCTACGATCTTACGATCCTACCTGCGATCCTACCCCAAATACTATTCGTTTACGATCCGGCACGTTTTTCACACCTAGGATCGTACGATCCTACGATCAGGATCGCGATTTTAACAACCATAGTTTTAGTTGTGACAAATAAAGTTTAAATATCAAAATTTTATTTATCCTCGATATAACGAGTTTTCATGTCATCCGATTTTATTTTGTATTTTCCAGTATGGATCATCTATATCCAAATTTTTATTTTTATTTGAATTTTAGAGGCTTTCAATATGATTAGAACGTTCAATGCTATGAAAATTCATCCTTATTATCAAATCCAAATCAAGTTCACATCACTAGAAGATCTTCAATCTTCACAAACCACAAGGCAATAAACACAAACCACAAGGCAATAAATGAGATGTTGAAGATATTGTTTTAGTTTCAGTGTATCCACAATACATACACAATGAAGATAAAACTTGTGACAAAAAAAATTGAGCACAACTTAAGGAACTGTATGATGTAGCTCATTCATAGAAAATATTGGTAACAGGAATGAATATCTAATGAGAGATCGTTATTAACGACTTAGAGAAAATGCCAGAAATAGGTTAGTGCCTATCGGAAAGCCTATCACCAAAGAAAAAGTAGAATTATTCATAAAGATGTTGAGGATGAAGGTTATAAAAATTATAAGGCAAGTGGGAACAAATTTACTAAATGACTTCAAATCCAACAGTATCAGGTGTTGCTCTCCCTCCTCTAGGTCGAGAGTTCAAGTCTTGTCGTGGACATAGGTAGATTTAAAGAGTCGTTTAGGAGTATATCAGATTTGTCGTTCAAAAAAAATGAGAACAAGTTTAACAAATCTATTATTTTAATGAAGATATGTGTCAACACCTGAAGTAGATTTTACATATAGATCGTGACACAACACGATACCATCCAGAATGTGAAGTGTGTAAAGAAGAAAGAGATGGTATCATGAAAAGATCAAGAAATATAATAAATGACTTTTTCTGTCCATCCCAAGATAGATACGTCAAAATAATGGTGGTTCAATGATTATACGTCCAACAAGTAGAGTGTAAAAACCGGTAAAATTCGGTCAGAGTTCGACGATCAAACCCCCGTGAGCCGTTATGCAATAAAGAC